CCTAGCCTCAACCATCACGAGCCAAGCGTAAATGCACTTGACCTCAGCGCCTAGTTGTTCTTGCGAGATGGGAGAGGAGTCTGGTTGAAGGATCAGGCCTGGATATCGGGTGTCGGCCGATAGCCGAATGAGGCCTTTGCGTCTCTGAACAACATCATCACGATGCTCATGAATAGTCTGCGGTAAAGCTGTGGATGGGACCGCACCAGCGCCTAGTGCGAGTTGTCCTGTGTTTTGCCCTGAGGGCATAGAGTCACAACCACTGTCACGTTGCCGTGGCATGGTACGTCTGTCATGTGATTGAAAAGGCCTCACTAAACTTTTAGCCTCCATCATACGGCGTTCGAGGTTTTCTCCGGATGTCCTGCGCGGGCATTTAGATGTGATGGCCATCGGACTGCGTTGAGTGGGCCCAAGTCTGCAGGCAACATAATTACCTCGTGGTAATTCGCGACTGGCTGATGGTTTGGAGGCTTTGATCTCTCGACCGTAACGAGAAGCGTATATGTTGTCCAACGATTCCGGTGCGCCCGTAAAGGAGATGGGGAGGGACTTCGGCGGCGCGGCGGGATCATCCATATGACAGTCGGAAGGACCAGCGTCGTACCAGGACGTTGTTTGGTCGTGCATGACTGCGAGGTAAAGTACGGTATAAGCGCCCGTGCGATTGTTTTCGGATGGACGGTCGAGCTGAGAGGGAAAAGATGCCAGCACGGGCAGAATCTATACTCGTTGGCACAAGGCAAACGGTTCGTGTATGTGATGCAGGCGGCCTCCCGCGTGCCGCATTCGGAGAGCCTGGCGCGCGCTGTCCGCCATCGAGCTGAAGATACCCCGTCGCGTGTGTTTAATCAACATCGTTGCGGTACATGGGTAGATGCGAAGAGATGAGGGTGTGGCCAGCACCGCTCTTGCGGCCACCTTGGGAGAAAGCGAGGGAAGAACGAAAATGTATTGCGGACGCATGGCAGGCGTCTCAGATCACGGATGCTGCCTGCAGTGCGGTCCGAATGACGCGCGAAAGCCAGAGCCAATGGCTTGACGCCGGGCCGGCTGGAAGGCTGCGCGACTCCAGACGATGTCCGATCGCTCAACGACGAGCATGTTTTATCTGTGCGCGTGCCGTCGAAGGCGGTATTCCACAGCAGCTTCTCTTCTATGTGCGTTGTCAAAGAGGTGGCTGGGCCTGCTCTAGAACTTCTTGACCACCAAGTCTCCTAGTGGTCTTTGTCAGCTCGAGCGTTGTTCTGGCCGAGGATCAAAGTGGATGTCCTCCAATCACTGTGATGGAGATTTAACATCTCGAGAGATCGACTAGCTGTCGGCCCCGTATCGCGCTGTTGTCACCACGTCCGCTGGCGTGTGCACCTTCGATTTCGCATGCGGGGAGGCCGCTGACAGGGGCTTGAAATGGCCTTCGAACTTCCGTGACGATCAGCCATGTGATCCCACGCAGACCCTGACTAGTGCCCCGTCAGTCACCACCAATTAAGATTGCCCAGCAGAATAAGTCCGGTGGCAGACCATGGTGAGCTGACCAGCACGTGTGGTCGTTTTGGAAATATCCCGCTCACTTCAAGCACCCCACTTTGGGATGGGTTGACAGAATTTCGATATCCATAGCTACGTGCGAGTACTGAACAATGCCTTGCCCGCATGAGGACGCTGAACTCTACCGTGTCGCGAAAGGTGGTCGAAAACCCAACTCGACGTGTTGATTTCTCATTCGATCGTGAAGTTGATGAGCAGAGACCCGCCCCATGAGAGCACGGCCAGCCGAGCGTGAGTGGCACGCATCCTTTCAATTGCTGCCAGCGACTCCTCGCGTCGACTTTGCCTGCTGATCAGTACTGAGTTAGTCCAAAGCACAGTCTATTCGTCGATGTGCGCCCGTCATTATCCGCTTGTCCGTGTCAGAGTCGATCTGTCTCGCAGCGTCCATTGCGTCGGGATGACTGGAGACACCTCATTCAGAGAATCGTCCCGGGCACTAACGGCAGACGATGATCGTGGTAGGGAGTTTGGTCGTGGTTGACACTCCACCACTCACCTGAAGATACAGCGGAACCGTGGCTCAAAACGCCTCCGTTGAGTGGGGAGTGGACACAGAAGTGCTGACTGACTACTGGGATAAATCGGAGGCTCTCACAGCGACTTGCTCGTCGCAGATGACGCTTCAAGATACTGTACTGAATTAATATGACTCAAGAGTTCTTCTCAGAATGGTCTACCTCTGCACCTTGGGAGCTGTCCTTGCATCTCTGAGTAAAACCCGCACGTGACCAGTGCTGCAAGTGCTCTCGTTAGGCTGAATGAAGTGGGCAACGAACCACACGACGAGGGCACGACGGTCGTCGAGTGGCCCAGCGAAGCAGCACTCGTCGGAGAAGACGTCGTTATGTCGCAGCTTGATCACAAGTTCGACGCGAAAATTCCCGTTCCGATCGAGGCTTTGAAACGGCAGTGCCGATGTCATGTCTCAACAGATTTTTGTCGCCATTTGAGACTCGCCCAAGCCTTCCCACGAGTCGCCATGGATGCAGTCCGTTGTTGGCTTCGCGCGGGAAAGTGACTGGCACACTGTCACCTCCAGTCGCCAGCACTCGCTCAACAGGCGCATTCACCAATCTGTCGTTCCGGTTCTGCAGGCATAGTCGGGTTGACAAGTTCGTACCATATCGGCGGAGGATTTTGAATGGGACACATGTCGTAGTGATGTCGCGAAAAGTACAGGGGGAGAGAGCACCAGGGGTCGTATAGTGATGGATTGTGTTGCGCGAGAGATCCGAGCTCGGTATCATCGTCACGGCGGTCCGTATTTTCCACTCTGGGTTCTTCACACAGTATCGACTTGCTTCGTAAGGGTGATGCTAGACGGTACGATGGTCGAGGGTCGACGAGGGGCAAGAAGAGCTCCATTATGGCACGTTTGGCCTTTTTCGAGTCCTGGATCAGCTCGCCGGAGCCATCCTTCTCCATCCCTTCGAGAGCGCTCACGCGTGTACAAAGAACGAACTGGTTCACGGATTGTCTGAAATCGTCCTGCATGCTCTTGACCTGTGATTCTTTCCCTGGCCACTCGGGCGTATCTGCGCTCGCATCGACGGAGTAGATGTCTGCATGATACTCAATTAATCGTTCGATGGTTTCCGGCGTCAGCTTGAAAGCCACCTCTTGTGCAGAAACCATGTCGACGTGGACCACGTAAGCTTCGACATGCAGGAATTGGTAGTTATGGAGCGCTTCTACCAGGGCATCGCAGTTCTTGCGAAGGTCGGCGTCTGGCGCCTTGAGCAGCAATAGGGAGCACAAGGTCCAGATAGCTTTGGAGGCTCCCAAGGTCTGTTTTAGATACTGAGAGCGCTGGGAAACGCTGTTGAAAGACCGCTTGGTCCCGCTGACGCGCTTCAATGTCTTTGTCAACCAACAGGGGACTTCGGTGTTCAGGACGATCTCTGGTGCCGAGCGTGGCGCGAAGGCCTCTGCCGATTTCGGTAGCAATCGCACGGGCATCTCGGAAGGGGTATAGGAGGACCATTCATCCGATGAATGGGAAGGACTTGAAGCCAGAACGCGTCTACACTGAATCCGTGATGATGAGACATCGTCGTAATACTCACTGGGTTACTTAAGTATGCCGCCGGCGCAGAAGCGTTTCGCTCGAGGCGCGTAGTATGGGAACGACGAGATTGTGCGGGCGCGTACTGAACCTTCGCCTCAGGAAATAGCGCCAACTGCAGCTTCATGATTTGGTGCCCTTGTCATTAGCGCAGTCCGTGTTCTGAGCCAGCGTTCCACGCCCGCAGGTGTCAATGGCCATGTGACCACGGTCGGGACGATGCCGCACCGGGAGCGAAAACTCAGGACCAGAAGGGAGCAAGTGGCGGTGGTCCCGGTACCATTGAATTTGGCTACTGGGCCAAGCTCTGGTCAAGCCACGACTGTCCTCGATGTAAGGGGTCGATCAACTATGGATAAGACCGTAGGGATCGTTTCCTCCATTGCAGTTGACCGACGTGTTGCTTGCAGACGCGTGACTCGGGACGAAGTCGAGGAGCATCTGTTCGACACGTTCACGACATATCAGTCGTGCTTCAGATTGCGACCTGTACTGTGCCTCTTTGCGACGCGCGTGCGGGGCGTCATGGATTGCTCTCGGTTCGAGAAACGTCCCACCAGAGGCCTTATTTCCATATCAGCGGCGACCGCCGTCGGTGGCGGGAAACCTGTGTATGCGATCCACTCAGGAGAGCGTTCATCCATGATTCGAGCTTGAGCCTGCACAAGTCGTTCCGTCAACCAAACTTCACGACCCCATGTAGCACTGCCGCTGGCGGCCGAACGAAGACTACAAATGAAAGTTGTCTGGTCTCTCCGACACGGTGGACGGCTGAGACATGAGGGCGCGTGTGATGATGGGTCGGCACAAGGGGCGGCGCGCGCTAGCGTGCCGACGAACAAAAGGTATACTGACATCGCACATTGCGCTGCCGACGTGTACTTTTCGAAACCATTGTGTACTTTGGATCTTGTTTGACGGTCCTTTGGTAGCAAAGCCGAGAGGGAGAAGATGATGCCTAGCGGTTAGGCAAAAATGAGAAAAGTTGCGTGATGGCGGTAGTCAAAGACCTAGATGGACGATTGAAAGAACTGGCGTCGACCCAGACTAAATGCTGCTGCGGCATGGACATACTGCACACAGGCGAGGGAGGCTTTCGTCCCAAGAAAGGCTATTTCGCCGGGCAACACAGGGTATCAACCCCTTGCCGGTATGGAGGGCCACCATGGCCGTACGGGCTTTCCCCATAGCCTCGTACGTCGTGTTGTTGTGTACAGTTGACTGGCTGCGGTTGGGCGTATTGAAGAGGCGACTGGCCGTTGGCCGCATGGTATGCAATGGATGGCCGCGAGCCTCCCCCCAGATGCATCATCTGTGGCTGCACATACGTCCCACGGGCCAGGGAAGTGTCGTGGTCGCTTTTGGCAGCCATCTGGGTCTTGCCCTTGTTCTCTGCAGCCTTCTTCTTCTCGCGGATCTCCTTGAACTCTGTGTGCCACAAGCCAGTCAGCAATTCGCAGAATCAACCCATAAGTATGGTAAAAGTTGCTAATAGAGTCCCAGTGATGAAGTCTAATTAGGAGTACGGTAGCACGAGCAATATATCTGGTCAATTTTGTGCTTTCAGAAAGCTTGAAGCAATAAAGAAGAGAAAAAAATCATACCTGCAGGACTCCGCTTCAGACCGTGCGATTTCATCACCACATGCGCATTCAAATGACCGAGCGTGCCGTATGACTTGTCGCAGCCATCCCAGATGCATTTGTACAGGCGTTCAACCTCTCCGAATCGCTTCCTAGGGCGCTTCGTGCTCTGCGGCCATCGAGTCTGCACGCATAAGCGACCAGTAGCAGTATCGCGAAACGTTGCTGGCGAGAACACGTTGCCTGTGTGCTGCTGGTTCCGTCGTGCCAGCTCCGGGAAGCCGTACCACGCCATCGCCTGTCCGTGGTATTGGGGTGCAATCTGGTGTTGTACTGAGTAACGCGAGCGGTACCCGGGTGCTGCATAGTCTGGGCTGGACAGCGTCGTGGGGAAACAGTTCGAAGGGTGATCACTAGTCCGGAGTCTGTCGGATGGCGGACCACCTCCTTTTTGCGCCATGAGGGTCTGCGGGCCTGGGTGGTGTTTTTCGGCGATCGTCTGTATCGGAGTATCGGCTGCGGTCGATGGAGACATTATATCGAAAGCAAGGAGACCATCATCAGGCCATCGAGGAACACGAACAGGCGGCACAGAGTGAGGGAGATGTCTTCGTTACGTCTGTTGACTCTGTGACTGGCAGAGCTTATTTGCGGTGATCATGATCGGTGAAGCGTCGAGGGATGGTCGCGATGCTCTCACGGATCAGGAACGATCTCACCGGAAGCTTTGAGTTGTCGCACGAATACGCAATTCCGCAGTTGTTACCGCCCGACAAGGAACATAAGCCCTCATTTCGAAACGTGACCAATCACAATGACAACCGATCCTCACCTCGACTAAAAGCAGATGCAAGCCACAGTGAAGGTGCATCGCATGCGAGACCACCTGCTTGACGTAGATCGAGCGGTCCGCGGACGTATTCGAAGGAAATACGTTTGGTTGATGACGGCCCGGACCGGGAGGTACAGCGAGGCTGAAGTGAGGCGCTAGCCCCAGTCCTGTCAAGGCTTCAGCCGCAGCGGGACGTTCCCCGAGAGCGTGATTGAGCGCTCGTGCCTTCCGAGGAGACTACCAACAAGGACATGCGAACCACACCTGATCATGATCATGTTGGTGCTCTTTGTGTTTAAATGAACCGAAGGCGCCACGGACTGACGAGATCTTGAAGCTACTCAAGTTCCCTCCGCACCGCCATCCTCATTAGCATCGATCCGCCCATTGCAATATTCGGACTCACGCATCAGTTGAGACCGGACAGGATGTTCGTCGTCATAAGCGGTCTTGTCAAGGAAGACCTTGATTAGTATCAGGGTTGGATCCTAGCATATTCGCCTTTCGTACCGCTTCCTTGGGTCTTCAACGAGCTTGGAGCCGCCGTAACCAAAGTGGTCAAGACTTCTTCGCGACGGCCGATGTTCTAAGAGTGATGATGGCCTTACTGCAAAGATGTTGAGCATGGCCAGTGGGAGCGGGACGCATTTCAAATGGACCATCATGACCCACGGTGAAGAGGCGGGCATATGCTCAGATGTCGATGGTGAAGCGCGATGTCCGACATGACTGGGCAACAGACCTTGCTCCCGACAGAGTTGCTTCTGTTTTGACTTCCAAGTGGGCCAGGTGTGCATCTCACCGCGTCAGACCTCCTCTGATCTCGGATTTATTACCAGCGTATTGACACTTCTTAAGGAGTGAAGGTAGACTAGATGAACGGTGAAGGAGGTACAGTACAGTATCAGTCAACTATATGCGACCACTACTATCCATTCTCCGCCTCTTTTCATCTTCAACAGCTTGATCCAACTTGGACTGTGAGCGCCGTGCTGCGTCGAAGTTTCCTAGAACACGTAATCCTTCCATCATAAGAACCAGCTCTTTCTCAGGTACAATGTCTTCACCTTTTCTCTCTACAGGTGTAAGCGACGTGAGGAAAGAGACCAAAGCGTCAGTTCTCGTCGCTAAAACAATGTCCTTCGGTGACAAGCCAGCTGGTGTATGGGTTGTGTAGTGAATCTGGAATTCATTGCCAGGCTGCTGTGTGCTTAGTACATTTATGCGTCTTTCCACCATCTTCGTGGCATTCGTACCAAGCAAAGTTCCGGATCGTGATGACAAAGTTTTCTCACTGCAAACATGACGCGGTCAAAAGCCTATGTTCAATGGTTAGTAATGCCCGAATTGGATAAGACTAACTCACTTCTCGTTGTAAGTCTTTCTGGAAACTGATCGTCTTCACCACGCCGTTGGGCTTCCCATTTTTGTCGCCACACAATCGCCATCCGTTTCCCAAGAGCTCCGCCAGCATTGGCTCCCACTTCGCCTTGTCGAAGGCGTCGCTGTTCGACCACCCGACATCCATTGTGCAAGACAGGAGTCCTTGGGCCATGGGAGTACGGATATTTATACCTGAAGTTAACACCCTGTGATGTCATGGTACGTCACTGTCGCCGAGGTTCCAACCGGTCAATGACGCAATTTTCCCCGCGAGACTTTCGGTCCAGGGGGTCAGTTTCGGGAACCAGTAGTAGGCCGACCCGGTCGAAAGTGACGACTTGGCATCACGGAAATGCCGCAATGCCTCTGCTGAGTCGCCAGCTTGTAGACAAACGTGGCACAACGCCAAAGCACTTATACCATAGATTGTTCCTTTGGCGCAGAAAGACGGATGTCGCTCGACCGCGCCCTGCACTTTCCCCCAGCGACGTGTAGCAGTTGGCACGTCCGATTCGGGACTGCAGCGTGCATAGCTGACAAGTGTGCGGACATCGAGTAGCTGATCGGAGACGGAGCATTTGGACAATTGCGTATGGGCATCTGTAAGCACCTCGAGAACTTGCTCGGCTGCAGTGACATCGCCGCGGGCAAGATGAACATCGGCAAGACTCGTTAGTATGCGACGACCCGGTCTCTGCTTGCACATAGCCTTAAAGACCAGCTGTCCATGAACGCTAGTTTTCAGGACCTCATACGCCTCGCGGTATTGGCCCAAATCTGTGTGTGCGTCTGCCAACCAGCAACGATGGACAATGTTGTCCGCTGCGTCTGGGCGCTGTACGGCACACCGGAGGGTATCCCGACAACTAACAAAGTCTCCCCTGGCCCGATGTATTTTGGCGAAGACAAATGCCTTCTTGACTTGGAGCTCCAAATTCATGCCGCTCTCCTGCGTACTTTGCACCCAAGTATCCTCGTTCTCAATCATTGCCAGAGCGGCTTCCAATTGGTCGGTCTGTACGAGGTTCTCAAGCTCTTGGATGAATATTTGCGGCTCCAACGACTCCCCATTAAGATCGCATAGGTGGCGCTCCGCGCGGAACAGGCCGAGGTGATGCATCGACTCTTCGTAATGACCTTTCAGGCGGCATACCTTGGTCATTTCAAGCGCTGCACTTCCACGGCGAACCGACCATCCGGGTTCAGTAAGACTGTGCGCTTTTCGAGCAAGGAGAAGGCGGGTGTCCAAATCGCCTCTTTTGCATGACAACAGGAGCGCACCGACCACGCAATCTTTCAACTTCGGCGGTACCTCCCTTGGGTGTTTGAAGAAGTGTTCGAGGAGGGGTTGAAGCAGCTGTAGTGAAACTCGATCCCTTTGCAACTCCGTTCAGCGTCACCATCAAATGTTGATAAATATGGGATTACCGACCTTTCCTCATCGAGGTTGGAGATTGTCAAACATAGTAGATGAAGTATGCCAGCCGCACAATGACCGTTCGGTGCATCGTTGGATGGGTTGGGGGTGCACAGCGAGTACGTTTCGTGTCTGTGAATCGATTCGTAAGTCTGAACGCGACGGTTGTGGTGTAGACGCTTTATCGCCACCTTGATTCGATCGGCGGACGACAGAAAGTCGCCTAGAGTTTGACAAATGTCGGTGGCTGGCGAAATGACACTGGCGAATGCCGTACACAGTAGGGACGGGATGTGTTTTCCACCCATGCATCGCAAGACGAATTCCAATATGTTCGGATCATCACGGCGTGTCCGCGTTATATGTTCACTCAAATCTGCAGGCTCGCTTGGCTCTACCAATTCACAAGGTCCTTGAAACTCCCAAGGTGACTGCCACGGCGACTGAACATTCGTCTGCGAGTGAATATGATCCACAGATATCCTACAGAGCCCTTCAAGCGGAGCCTCATTCCTTGCCGGCGGAGGAGAGACATGACAAGTGGCGGTGCTTGCGGTCGTTCCAGAGGACTGGCTGCCCTCGTCGATGTGGATGAGTGTGTTCGAACTTGCGGCTCCCGTCCTGTGGGAGTTATCGTAGTAGGTATTTGGGGTCCGGTCTAGCAACGCGGAAGAGGTCGGAAGTGGCCCAACTTCGACAGGGAAGTCGGAGTCCGCAGTGTCTGCTGCAGCAACGACCCCGTCGGCCAGGCGGGTGCACGGGGACGAAGCGGAGTTCTCAAGAGGACGGACAGCTGCACCGTCGACTCGACGTAGCACCGAACCGACTTCTTCGGCGGGACTGGGTTGGGCGGACTGTGTGTGTACAATGTCGTAGAGCCTTGTACCCTCCCTGATGACCATTCCGCAGCGTCTTGCGCAAAGGAGGACGCCGTCGAGCACGTAGGGGGAAAGCCGGCAAGACTGTGCGCAGAAGCCGGGCATCTCCACACAGCATATGGCGAAACTTGCGGGGTGTGCGTGCAAATGTTTACCGAAACTAGGCAATCAGTCGCGTGGCGAGGAGGCCGAAGGGCTGGACTTACTGAGTGTGATGCGCACCTAACATCGCGAGACTCCCTAAGCCCAGGCCAGTATCGCGTGCCAGCAGAGCCATGTAAAATTGTCCAGTGCGATAGGTTAATCGGACATGACTTGTTTTCTTTCCTAGCTCCGTTGCTATTTCTTTGATCCTGTCCCCGACGGCGCCCCTCCCCCGAGCGGCCACGCACTGCTTGATGTCGTGAAAGAGGAGCAAGGCTAGGATTCGAAGGCCAACCTTGGCGCCGTGCTCAAAGAGGCAGTGCGAATCGTATAGCGCCAGCGTTGACTCGCGCTGCGACGAAAATTCGAACTTTGCAAAGCACTCGGTGTCTGGTTTGGTCCATTTCCCGGCCGCGATATCGCGAGCTGCACGCAGGAGAAATGTCGACTGATGCTGCGACAGGCCTTTGCAGCTTTCTGCATCGTGTGCGCTTCGAGAGATCGGTGATTTCCTCTGCCTGTACTTGGTGATTTCGCGGATACAGTTCTGAATAGTTGGTGTGTGAATGTCACCATTCCGCTTGAGATCCTCGAGTGTCGCGATAAATCGGCGGCCGACAGCTTCCGCGTCGTCCAGACTGGCGTCTCGCACACTGGTGCCTTGCGTTTGCGGACCGTCGTCTTGCATGTTCAATGTGTAGTGCCATGTAGGAGTGTGAGATGCAGGATCAACTGCGCCGAGATGAGAATGCGGCGGCTGAGCACGGACGGACTTGGGGTCACCGATGACCCCAAATGATCCGTGCGCATGCAGCACGCTCCCCACAAATCATGAGGTGCGGCTATGCAAGACCTCCCCCCCGGAAGTTTATCGTGGCTTCCCGCGCGGCACTAAGACACAGCAACGGGTATAAGTATGCGACGGCGAAAACAGCGGTTGCCTTCAACAATGGAGCAACGATCGGAGATTAAGATTGGCCTGCTTGGGCATGCTACCGAGTGGAATCACTGCCTCGAGGGGCTTAAGGTACGCATATCCCCGGGAAGAGATCATCATACTGACAGCTGTAGTTGGGAGACCGGTGGTCCGTCGTGCTCCCGACGGCTCGACCCGCTGCCACGATAAGCAGACCAGCACCCATTACCGGCTCACATGGGCCGAACAATACCATCGACAGGAACGTATTCATGGACTCATCCGGGGATGCTCCGATAAGGATGACTTTGGGTCCGATGAGCTTGCCGAGGAGGTGGTCGGGGGAGAATTCGACTTGAGCTTTGTCGTGCCGGAATCGGAGCAGGCACGGTCACTGCAGGCTGCCATGCGGGTGATCGCAGAACGAGTTGAGAAGGATAGGACAAAAAGAGAGATGAGGAGAGATCGAGCAGCCGCGTGCTGCCAATAAGAGTCTCAAGGAGGAGCTCGATCACTGGGCAGCAGTCATGCAGCACCGCGATCAATGTGCCACCTGTCGAGAAAATGAAACCATGTCGAAGCCATCGGACATGCATTCAATGTGATAGCAGAAACCAACCAGTGGATCGTGCACCCCAGAGGCGTAGTCGGGCACGGACATGAAGACATCATCGAACATATATGCATCTACAGTCCGATCTTTCACGCGCATGCACGAACCCCATGGACGACGACTCCGACTCCGGGGTAGATTGTAACGACGACGACAGCACGTCCTCGGTCGGCGAGCCCCAGCAGAACGGCAGATGGGATCACGGCCGCCAGTATGCGGGTCGGTGAAGCCAAAGTGAGGCAGTCCAACGACTGATGCGTGGCAGTATTCTATGAAGACCCCGGGCGAGACGCGAAGTTCATCGAGCCCGTGGACGAGGTCAGCGCACTCTCCACGACCCCACGCGACTACTGACGCCGGTCGCAGCTGCAGCGAGAACAATGGGCGCGGCGGCACGAGGTGTTCAAGGAGTTGATCCCTCTCCACCGCTCCGCACTACCTCCTCAAGGACGCTGTTTGGACGTCGGTGCCGGGTTGGGGTTGTGGGCAGTGGAGTTCGCAGATAAACAAACCGATTGGAGGGTCGTCGCTATCGACGTGTTTCCAAACTTCCCGAGATGGTGAGGATACAGCTGCGTCGTGTTGGAGAAGATGATCATGCTCACTGAGTAGGGTCCCCCCGAACATGATGCCCATGTTGGAGGATGTCGAAAGCCTGTCGTACACCGCAACATATGACTTCATCATGGTACGCGACATGCAGTGGTCCGTCAACCTGCGCGACGTGATGCCTCGCCTAGTCAGGTCGGTCGATCCCGATGTGTATTCCGTCGGGACCTTGCTGATGTTCCAGATCTCTGCTACCCCGCGGGTCGTTGGAGGTGGTCTGTCTGGGGCCAGTAGAACCAAGCAATGGCGCAGAGGGTGGAGGAATGATAGAGAATATGCCGCAGCAGATCGGGATGCCGTCGTGGGCGGATATCGAAACGGGCCTCCCGACGTGGATGAAAGAGGCGGGACTGGTGGACGTGCGAGCTGAAGTGCTCCTGGTCCTGGTGAGTAGCGGTTCGGGCATGGACACGACGCATTTACGACGCGACGGGTGGAGCGAGGACGAGAGATATTGCAAACTCGTCCTCGTCCATGGCACAAAGCGTACGGATCAATCATAGAGTGGCTGGAGAGCCTGGCCGGTATGTAGCCCAATATGACACCCGACCGGTGTGCACAGCCTGACGGGGTGCTTCACCGCCCCCGAGCCAGGCTACATATATCCATCAAGCCCGTCCGCTCTGTCGTCTCTTTCCATCTGAGCCCAGCTGCTACAGCGAGATGTCACCTCCGGGTCTGGCCAACCGTCGACCGATCGCTTCTGCCGGTAACCGACATCCACGTTCCGTTGGATATGTGCTAGCGCCCCGATGGAGCAACGTGCGGGAGGTGATGGCTGGACATATCTACCACGATAGCCGTCGTTCGCGCGTCACCTTTCGTGCGCGCTTGAGAGGAGGCTCCATGACAGAGCTCCAATGCCATGGCAGTGCGCCCTCCATCGGCGCGTCTCAACTTCGTGCACCATCAGAGTGAGAATTGGACCACGGCCACCGAGAACACCCGTATCGCGGCCGAAGGAGAAGGCGTACTGTATGTCCATGGTGCTCCTATCTACCGAGCAATTCGGCGAGTGAACCGCGTGCTTGACAGTCCGCCACATGCGCTGCCAGCGTCGCATCCACGCTCCACCGAGGGCCAACCGCCGGCTGCCGCTGCTTGCCCTTCTCGTTCATCGCAGTTGCCTTACCATCCACCACCACCACACGACCGACAAGCCTACAACAACCATGATCACTCTGGTGTTGTCGCGCCTGGGCTGCCGGCTGGCCCTCCTCTTGCCCATCAGATGGGACATGCGCCGCATCATGGGTACCCGCACGCGACCGGTGATCTGCTTCGCGGCTTGCCTACTCAACCACATCAGCACCAGCATCGTCCATCGCAGCCGACGTGGATCGCGGTGGAAACCCATGTCCAGTGTTGGCCACCACCTCCAATCGCGACCTCTGGCCCCACATTCAACGCCAATACCAGTGTTGCCAACGTCGGCGTCACCAATCCAGACTTGCGTGCGGCTCAGGTCAGTGTTTGGCATTGCATTTCGAGACATTCGCTGACGCATGCCAGCCCTACGAGCATTGTAGATTACGGAAGCCAAAGAAATTGCGTGCCGCCCAAGTCAGTCCGCTGCAAGCCCACTCGTGTCAACTCAAGTCTCTCTAACACTTTCAGGCCTGCGTGCCATGCAGACAACGGAAGCGAAAGTGCGACGAGGGTTCGCCATGCTCGTGCTGCAAGGAGGACAAATTTACTTGTCAATATCCTGGCACACCGCCGGGCAAGTACGTTGATACCTCGTCATCATTTTCGACCGTCGGTGCTGACCTTGTGGCAGCACCAACGCGACCAACGCGACCATGGAGAAGCTGCTGAGGTACGCGGAAGCCCATTCGAATGAGCTCAAGAAATTAAATAGCAAAGTGGACGGCTTCGAACAGCAATCACGCCGGGTCGAGCCGAACAAATCCGCTGCGCCAGAGCCTACGATCATGAACGATCAAGATCGACCGAGACGAAGACAAGAGCTGGAAGATCACAAGACCGCACCACACAAGTTGCTGTTGCATTGGCCTTCCGTGCGAAAACTGCTGGGGAAGGCTAAGTTGGAGCACGACGAGGGCTACGTTATGACGGCCGAGTATGGCCAGGACGAAAGTGATGAAACAGGAGATACGCCGCCGCACGCGTATGGAACCTGGGATACTGAAATGTCTTCCACGCCTGACAATGAGGCGCGACGGTCGACACGTGCAGGAGGCCTGGGATCGGATGGCGACGTCGATCTCGACGCGCACACCATCAACGAGCTTTACGACAGCTACATGCGTCACATCCACATCCTGCACCCGTTTCTGGACCAGCGGGAATTGCGGGAGATGTTTGACAGCTTCCTCCGGCGTTACAGCACCGGCGGGCCTCGAGCACGCTTCGCCGTCAGTACATCTGACTCCTACCAGCGACCGCTGAAGCGACAACGATCCAACGTGTCTACTGCGAACGTGGCACCGCAGTGGGAGCAGGCCGGTGAAGGAGAGCCGACCGAACGGTCGCCTGGAAACGCCATCATTTTTTTGGTACTGGCATTGGGAAAGATATGCATGCATAGCGACCCACTACCAGGCGGGGACGTCATCCCTGGAATTGCGTACTATGCCAAAGCAGCCGAGATTCTGGGTGACCAGGGAGACGGAAACGACCTCGTCCACGCCCAGATGTTCCTGCTAGCAGGTCTGTATAAAGGTCAGCTAGCTCATGTGAAGGAAAGCATGAGCTGGATCACAATGGCAGGTCGTGCAATCTTCATTCTGCTCGATCGTTACAAGCTATACAATGGCAACTACTGGACGGCCTACGGTGATGTACAAAGGCGGCACGAAAGCGCGCATAAGCGCATTAAGGATACTCGACACAGCTTGATCGTGCTTGCCTCGTGGACGTGCCTCCAATTGGAGAGTGACATTCGCGCCGACCTCAAGTTACCGTCCAGTGAGATCCAAAGCATTGAGGATCTGCTCATCATGCCCAAGAAGACACGCGAGGACGAGGGTAGACCAGACGACTGCGACAACAACCTCATATACTACACCGCACAGCTCTTCCTGCGACGACGATTGAACCAGGTCCACCGAGAGATGTATGGGCCAGACTGCTCGAGCCAGTCGTTGACTGAAGTCCAGGAGATGCTTAGGGGTCATGAGAACATCCTCACTGAGTGGAGAAGGGGCCTTCCACTCGCTCTGAGATGGAATGATAACGATCCGCTATCGTCGGACATCCTTGCGGCCCGATTGCGTGCGAAATACTACGGGGCCAGATACATCGTCAACCGCCCTTTCCTCGATTACGCGTTGCACATAATGCCAGGTCTCAAAAGTGGTCATCCCATGGAAGCTGTCGCAAGGGACGGATACGGCAACCCGCGTGACAAGGCCGACATCCATCTCTTCAGGGCCATCGAGCAGCTGGGCGATTCGACAGTACGGGAAGCCGCACGACGTTGCGTCGATGCAGCCATGCACAGTACCATCGCTTTCGACGGCGTGCGAGAACGTCTCATTCTCACCAACATCCACGGCACCGCACACGCGTGAGTTCGGCCGCCGCCCTCACTGAACATACAGCTAATTCTATCCGTAGGCAATTCGGCAATATGCTAGCCTTGTGTGCGACGTTCACAACAGATCATATGAAGCAGATCGTTCAGACCGACGAGTTTAGGGAACGACTGCCCCGGACGATCAGCTTCCTTGGAAAGCTGGCGCCCATCTCACCCACATGCGCTGCGGACTGCAGCATCCTCGAGAAGTTCAACGATCTCCTGTTTCCAATCAAGCAGCCTGACATCGAAGCAGCCGATGAGCGCTGCGACTCGCATGCCGAGTCGATCACGAAATCCCCTTCTTAATTTCATCCCACATGCGTGGATACACATCGAACCAGCACAATCGATCAGTAGACCACATCCCAGTTCGTGTTCGGCATACTTCTTGGGCCCGCGCCGGCGACGGAATAGGATATAGGCGGTCTGTCCTTTCGACGACAGGATGTTGATCAGCGAAGTTGGATAGCGGTCATGTCACCTGTCGCACGCCGGACGGATCTCCAAACCGACGTCTGGATCCTTCTCAACACGATCACCAGCTCATAGGCCAAATGTCGCTTGACACTAGCGTACGTACATGTGATGGGTTGTCTTGGCACCAAGCAAAGTTGGACTAGCCAACGTTAATTCACTTCTGCGAGTCCCATTTTGCGCGCTCGTCTCGTATTCCACCAAGTGCCTCCCGCGCTCGAATGGGAGCATCTCCATGCCGACTGAAAAAATGTTGTAGAGTACGTGATAATGCATGTCGCCGGACGAGGTCGAGCCCAGCCCCGTCGATGCTTGCAGCGTCCGAGCGTTTACGGTAGCCACCATGATCAATTGGGCCAGGTGAGAGCAAAGCGAGACGCGCCGAGTGGCCGCCCCGCTGAGAATGGCGGGAGGCCAGCGACGTAGCGCCACCAAGAACATGGGACCGCTCGATCGTACGTATCAACCCGAGAATGATTGGATCGGTGTCAGCCCTCCTGAGGCAAGCAGCTGTCTCGGTGGTGGCCGCGGATACAACGAATGACATCCGTCTCGATCCCGCTTCCTTTCGATGGCTCGGCGCTTCTTGGGATCGTGGTCGTCCACACGGCGAGCTACAACAAGCCTCTTGCGCTCGACTTCTTCACCCGGTTCAAGATCACTATCCGACGCGCTCGCCCTCTCGCTGTTGAAGGAGGATGTCGATAAAGATGTGAAGCTCCACCAACCCCAGGACGTGCGACTTAGACCAATACTCCCACGTCGACTACCACGAACTGAAAGCGCCATGCTTCGACCTTTCCAAACAAGACCGCACCTCCATCCTAGAAACACACGAGACTTTTCCCGCTTCCTCCCTCACCAACAGCCTTCCCGCTGACGAATTCCAACAAGGCCCACCATTTTTGGCACCTCTCGCCTTCTCATTGTCCAATGCACATTCGTCGTCGTCACGCAGAGGATTTTGGAGAGGGATCCTCAAGAGGAAATTACCCTAAACATTTGATCTGGACCTATACGTGGCGCGGGCATCGAACATACAGTTGCAGGAGGAGGAAATGCAGGTCATAATTAATGAGTCCGATGTGAGAGGGAAGGGAGGGACTAGTCGGGGGAGCTCACGAGCATTTGCTTGTCAGACTGAGCATGGCTGGCGCGAACACTTCAACCTGATGTATTGCATTGTTCTCGTGCACGAAAAACCTGTCCTGTCATGCCACGTTCCTACAGTAGCTCTCAGAAAGTCACAGCCAATCCCAAAGGTCTTCGAACTCTGTTCACTAGAGTCTACGCATGGCCATTCCAATACTTCGATGTCCACGCTCACTCTACTAGCCAATGTCTTGTGAAGTCTACCGCCAGGAGGGCGGTTTGGCTGGCTCGATGGTCAGAATAGGCCTCCAAACGACCCAGTGCCATGCCGAATTCCACTGAAACATTCTTCTCCTGACCAGCAAATTCCTGTATGGCGCGTAACGCCCGACCCACGTCCTGCCAGTCGCCAATCGAAGGATTGTGCAACGCGCGCTTTCGTCGTTTGGCTGCGTGATCGATGGATCTATCTCCCTCGCACCGTGCGGCTGATCCTCGTCTCGCACCAGTTTGGTTTTCGATTGGCACCATCACCCGAGTCGGTGCGGTGTCCCAACGTATGAAAGCCGCTCCTGTGGCAGGGCTGGCGCTCGAGCAGCGCAAGGTTGGATCGGAAGTGCATACATTGTAATCGATGTGGACGCTTGATTCTTCGTATTTGATCATACGCGATACGGTCCTAACTGCGTCAACAGAGCCTGCATTCCCGCATAATTCGAAGCAAGGCCTACTTTGGATCGCGACCGAGCACGGCTTTCCTTGGTCAGCGGGTGGGAAAAAATCTGCGCTCAATTACCCACCTGCAATTTCCTTGTGACTGAGGAACGGTGTCGTTTTCAACAGATCCCTGAGACTTATACGCTCTGCCTCCTTGACGCGGCCTTTGCGTCGCGGCGCGTGGCAGGGACGGGCACTCGCTAGGGGTGCCTTCGTGCTTTGCGTCTGCCAATACTGCCGGAGCTGTGATGGGTATGCTGGAAGACCACCAGCCGCTGCTTCGGGTGTGTCCATGGCGTGATCGTTAAACCAAGACGGTAACTTGTGATGGGCGAGGCATTGGGAAAATGACAGTCGACGACGAGGTTAGACTGGCTTGCTCTGCGGGTGCTCATTTGTAGGAGATGTACGCCCTCAACGCAGTGCCGATGTGGCCTGCAGCTCGCCTGCTGCCGTATGCCATCCGGTGAAGCCACCCGGGCGGAGATTGTTTGAGGTACCGCGCGGGTACGTACTTCGTTCGTGTTTTAGTGGCCTGGTGTTAGCCACTTCAACGATAAACACACCACTTGCCGCCGCCACGACCAATGGAGAGGGTCGTCGTGCGCGATATTCTCTCATGCTGCCGAGGGCCCCTATGCGGGCGGAGGCGCTAGAGAGAGGGTGTGATATCACTGTATGGTGGTCTGTCGCCAATCGCACCATACCCTAGACGGGGTTGATTGGTCCTGCCGTCGCATTCTTCCTTCGGAGGTTGACTCACACGCCCATATTTCTTGTCCCCACCCACCGTCGTGGGAGCCTTTGCCTCAACAACCATGGAAAGAAACACGATCAGCCGCCTGAACACCATCATTCTACTGGCCAAAAGGATCTTGGATGTCTGCACAAACGACAGGCAAGACTTGCAAGACGACTTGCGCATTCTTCAACGCAAGGCAGATAACTTACCGTATGTTGGCGGTCCGGACGGCAGTACAGATCACAGGACGGACAGCGAGCTCGACGCTATCGAGAAGCAACTACAGTCGCTCTCAGCTCCGAACTGCTCCTCGTCAGCGTTGGAGTATCAAGTCGGAGTGAGGCAGGATGGCGACGGGCGTGGTGAAGAGCTTAGATTTGCTGTCGTGATGGAGACATTGGTTGTGAAGATGGAGAAGATAACGAAACGTCTTGAGAGACACCACGCAAATACAAAGGGAACCAATGGGCTTGACCGTCCCTCTCAATTCAACACTATCAATTACGGCACTGGCATCATGTCGGTAACAAACAACAGAAATTCTGGCAGCTCAGGGCCAGTCTATTTTGGAGGGACACAGATTTTTACAGGATATCGGGGCTAACGAAGTTGTGCAAACATGATGTACCGTATGACCCGTCAATCAACACTCTGCGCTTTCTTTTCCAACAACCCTCAAGCTTTCTCACAATTCCCAGGGCTGTGCGGCCTGTCACAACTTCTTTTCCCATCCTATAAACATATCTCTTCAGCCAGTGAATTTGACCGGCCTTGATTATCATTACATCCCACCTCCGATCCAATAGTAGTCGCCCCGCGTGCCGACATGGACAGCGTCCACGGTCAACTCCCAAATGTATCCGGCTGCAGTGTCGAGTAGAGCCACATATATTGCCTTCCAAAGGCCTTGTCAGATCCGCACGAGCGATAGCGGCGACAGTTGCTCGGGTGGTGGCCTGGCTTGCTGGTAGAAGATCATTTGCTTCCGTGCTTCCGTGCTTGGAGCTCTACACCCGTCGCGTCCAAGGGCCTGTCACAAGACTATCATCAACTGCGGAACACGTGTGACCCACACGTGACATCCACTAGAGGCATGCGCGCGGCAGCGAATCGGCGGCGCCACATGGCGGTGGAACGATGCTTTGCGTGCGCGCCCATCGCATAGAGACCTCAAATCTCGGGCGAAGCCTTGTTCTCGACCTGGTTTGCATCCTTTCTCCCTCGGCCAACTCTGAGACCCATCGTTTGAGAACAACCTATGCCTCACCGGTGGAGCAGACATCCGTTGGTGTCTCCGTAAGTGGAGGCGACCAGTTCCGAACATGATCTCCCCCGTGTGCCAACGACTTCACTACGCGGGCTCAAGCGCGTGTGGTTGTACTTGGCGACTCACGCCTGGCGAAAACTCATCTGGTTCTTTCTTGATTCAAGATTCAAATGACGTTTAGAATACACAGATGTAGAGGCTTGTCAATAGGCATCGGTAGGGTGATGTGACTGTTATCGCTCACGGTTGGCTACCAGATTTCTGCCGTCCCTCCACCAGGATATTGTCTCCATATCCTCTGCATGGGCGCGGCCACTCTTTCCTTCGAGGCCACCTTTTGGTCGCCTGTTGACAAACATTTTCGAGTCCATCTGGGCCATAAAACGAGCTTTCCAGGACATGCTTGCGCGCTTGTACAGTTGAGCCTAGTTCTTCAGTAAGAAATGTGTCCAGTCGGTTCAGCAGCTCTGGTCTTGTCTCATCGTCACAGCGCGTTTGAAGGGGCTTCCACTGCATCTGGCAACTTATGTGGGGTAGGTCGCAACCCCATCCACGTAGTTCCCAACCTATCCCCCGAATGATATTCTCCGTCGTCTTCATTACATCTTGGCCAAATTGCAATTGATCTTGTGCGAATAACTCTGGTGATTTGAATACCGCTGAACCACGATCGAAGTGGAAGTTGAATTCAGACCGTACTTTAAGACCATTTTCGTCGAACGTGCCGGGGCTTCCCTGAAAGATCGAGAAGGGTGCTGATGCTCGTGGAGATGCCGGAGGTGTTGGCGAGGCCGGTATTGTTGGCGAGGCCGG